TCGTTGCCAGGAAACGAAATAGGCACAACATCGATGTTGAATTTTATCGACGATCGCGACAAACGATAGCATAGCCGCGTCGTTTAAACTTTGAAAGGTATTCCTAGAAACTTCTCGGTCGGTAAACCTCTCTGAACGTGTCGTATTCGAAGCTCGTTAGCGATAAAATCCGTTTGTTTTCGGCCAAACGATAACCTTGGATCGTTGGTTCGAGCTATCAAGGGTTCCGAGAACCAGCCATACCTATGAAATTGCAATCGTTTATATTTCCGGATGTAGCGTGTATTACTAGGGCGTACTCCATATTGACGGTCGGTGGCTTGAACGCGTAAATATCCTTCGGTGAGAGGACCAGTCGTTTCGAGATCAAATCTACGTACTCTCGTCGAACCTCGGAAGCCGGGATCGCGTCGTGTTTTGCGTAAAACTTACCGGTTAGAGGTTTCGTACGCGCGATAGCTACGAACTTTTCTTGCAGGCGAAAGTACTTTTTCTCCTTCTCGTATCGCTCGGTATAAAATCGCAGTTTCACAGGGTTCATGTCGCTTTTATCCGTCCGTCGTCAGCCCGTGCGAATTTCGTCGATTCGTGCGAAACGCGCTACTGGAATTTTTCGTACGCGGAAAATTGGTCGGCGAAACGGCGCGTGAGAAAAACAAACGAACGGACAAACGAACAATGAAACATCGGAGTTTAACAATGAGCAGGCGAACGATGCTCGTTCGAATAGCATGGTTTATTTTAAAATACGAGTAGAAAACGCATACATAAGAAGCGGAAGACCGTGGCTAGTCAGTCAGAGATTCGCAGCGAATACCTGCGATCTGTTTTGAAGGGATCTCGGAGAGACACGGCCAAGATAAAACTTGCTCCGCGAGAATATAGAGGGGAGACGCGAAACGCTGCTCGAGACGCGTTTCGGCATAACGAATTTCGTTAAATCGTCGAGGAAAATGCGAAAACGTTGCGCGCGACGAAGCAACTCGATCGTCACTCTCGTACAGCGTTCGCGTTTTCGCGACAGTCCCGGTAGCCAGAGTATATCTAGCCGTTCCAACAGCTACGTATCTCGCGTCAGCCTTAAGCTTTCGCTTAACTTACAATTTTATAAATACTGCAGCGAAAACCGCTCGTAACGATATACACGCGTTTCGAGGAGATAACACCAAAAAGAAGAGAAAGGAGAAACTAGAGAAAAAGGAGAAAACGAATACGCGGTTCGTTGGATCATACGAACGTTGATACTGCGTACGCGCGTCGAGTTTCTCGAAAAAGATACAATTCACGTGGCAACAACATCTTCAAGGCACACTTTTATATAATATAGTCGTAGAAATAAAAGCGACGACGACGACGATGTAACGATAACGATAACGATAACAACGACGATAGCTATGGTCATTGTGACGATGGCGATGGCGATAATAACGACGATGGTAACAGCGATGGAGAGCAACTGTCGCAATGTCGCATTTTAAGATTTATCGAGTAAAGAAGAGAGAAAAACGCGAAGTCGGGAGAATGGACGAGACATTTGCTACGACGAATATGGACCGAGCGTCGGACGTAACGATCGTAACGTAACGTCGACGAAAACAGCGGGCAGGCGAAGAAATACGATTCGTCGGTTTCGAGGGAGGACGAGACGGGGCGGTTTTAGGCCGTTGGATCGTTTCGTAACGAAGACGAGACGAGACAAGCGTTCGGTACGGTCGGGTAATCGCCATTGCGCTCGAAATCCTACGTCGATTAAATAAATAGACTAGAACGAGGTCGTATCGAGATGGTGGGAGAAATAGGATGTCTCGCGTCTGCAACGCGGAATAAGAGAGTATTTTCTAAAACGAACTGTCGCAATGACTTGGATACGCGTACACCGTAACGCACGTTACCGATTCTTGAAACGATAGCGAGAAACGTGGACGATAACGCTGGAATCGATGCGTGCAGCGAGCAAAAGTAGCGGGACGTTGGGCGAGCGCGTAAAGCGTCGTCGCGCGAATCGGCGAAAACGAGATTAACTGTGGTCGTTGGCGCAACGGCTCGTCGTATCGGCGGACGTGGAAAGCGAATGTTTCGTCTGGGTCGTACGTTCGCCTTTGCTCCTGGAAAATCAAAGGAAACGCGATATTACAACCGTCGATGAACTAAGGAAGAGGAGGAGGAGGAGAGACGAGCGATTACCTCCTCTGTTCCGTGGATCGTTCGTCGCAGGAAGCGGCTGAAGCCGGATCGGTATCTTCGTACAGCTCCGGCGTTCTCGCGTTCTCCGTGCAAGTTTTCCGTTTCGCAGCGTTTGCGCGTACATCCGAATTTCCGTTGTAGTAGCCGTTCTCGCACCTAGTCGGATACTCGCTGCACGTCGGCGACCTCCTAGACGGCGAGTAGTCCGCGGTGCTCGGAGATAGCAACTCCTCGTAGTACTGGACGGTTTTCGGTTCGGCAAGTCCGATCGCGTACTTTCTCGGCAGAGAGGAGTAGCCGAGGCTGACAGAGTCGTTGGACAAGCTGCAAGCAGAAGGTCTGTACACGGTGGCTAGATCCGGATCCGCGGTAAAGTCGGCACTGTGATATCTCGATCTGGAGGCGTCGAACAGGTCGAAGGTCGGCGACCTGAGATACCTTCTGAGAGGATCGTAGGACGAGGAGAGTACGACCGGATGCTCGGTCGGCGACTTGAG